AGCTTTTCTCTCGGCCGAGTGAGGTGGGGGTTTGAGGCAAGCGGAGTTCTGGCCGAGGGCTGGAATTTCCAAAGCAAAGTGCCACGGGGAGGCAACCGATGTTTAGACACCGGCTCGGTCATGTTCAGCCTGTCAGGGAGGCTGGGATGCGTGAGGGCTCTCTACGACTGACTGGGGCTCTGGAGCGACCCTTATTCTTGCCATTTAAATTAAAAAAAAAAAAAAAAAAAACGCAAGGAAGTAATTTTTTATATGGTTGGAAGACAAGGTAAGGAGTGGTCTGAGATGCGGCGGTGGCTCTCTGTTCTCGTGACTGACTTCAGACCCTTGTCCCCAGGGCAACGTGTATCTGTGTCGGAGGCATACGGGGCTCGTGTTGGAGGTGCTCAATGGTTTCTGCACAGGTTATTCTGCTTTTAAGGAGAGTTGCAAAGGCTCTTTGGGGTTTCTCTTTTGTGGGGCTGAAGGCCTGAGTTCCTGTGTGGAGGAAGAGAGGTGTCTTCATCTGGGCCCCGAGAGAGGGGTGGGGGGCAGGGCACAGCCTTCCACCTTGTTTTTTACCATGCTCGTTTTTCCTTCCCTTTTTTCCTCCTGTGACTAGGTCTGTCCTGTCTGGCCTTATGACTCCTGCGTCGCAGCGGCTCTTCGCCCTCGAAGAACGACATCTTAAACTGTAGAAGAGGAAGGGGAAAAGATGGGCCATTGGGAGCGTCTCCCTGAAAAGAGCCAGCCCAGCCCAGCCCTGCCTCTTTGCTACTTAGGGAGGAATTCTGCCTCGGAAGGTAAACCAAGTACCTCTCAAAACTTTCTCCATCTGTGCACATGGGATGAGTTTTAAGTCCTTCCTCCACACACGTGGAGCCTCTGACATGTGAACAGTTAGAGTTACATCAGCAGTTTTATGGGGTGTTGCTTTATACATGCTTTCAGGGCTTTCAGTTGGCTGCTGCCGATAACTTTGAAGTCATATTTATCTGAGAGCTTTGGTTTGGCTCTGCTAACAAGATAGATCTCTGTATGTCTTGACAGTCCCCCCGCTGCAGCTGACAGTGCAACACGTACGGCTGTTCTCGCAGCTTGTAGCTGCCTGATCTCTCCCCTGGCAGATCTACCTAGATCACCGTTTAGAGATCACGGCCTGCTGTTCACGGGCCTGCGCAGGTTCACAGTGAAGGACACAGCTCTTGCTCTAAAGCCGTTAAAGAACCTTTGTTGTAAATTAATGTCTACAGGCAAATAGCAAGATCTTCCTTAAATTTCAGAGGTTTAAAATAAATCCTGCCAAACTGGCTTAAAAACTGCCCCTGCCTGATTTCTGTATCTCTTGTTTCACTTGGTGCTCTAGAAGAAGGGCAGACACTGGAATTCCCAGAGCGCTCTCGAAAGAGCGAGGTTCCCTGTGACTTGCAGGGAAAGTGCTTTGTTAACGAAACCCACTGATGAATCTGGCGTTCTGGAAAGGCATCCCAAAAGGCTGCAGAGACAGCTGGAGGCAATGCAAAGCGAACTTCAAACAGAGCTAAAGGTAAAAGCGAGCCGTGAGTTGCGCTGCTCAGCGGTCTCTGCCTCTGTTTTCTCGCTGATCAGTCAGCTTGGTGACTGGCCAACTGCTGGGGCTTCGCAGCTTGTGTGGGCTCCTCGCAGCAGAAAACAGGAAACACTTCTTACTGAATAGGATCCGTGCTGTTCTGCTGTGAGGATGGGATTATTCACCAAGTCTAAAGAAATCCCTCGCATCCAAATGCTTTAGACTAAAGGTAAAAAGCTCTTTGGTCTCCTCATGTTACAATTTCCGTGTGGCAGCTGGTCTGGACTCGCTCGATACCATGGTAGTGCCGATAGTCGAAGGTGTGTCTGACCGGGAGCGTGGAGACTTGGCCGACCTGCGTGGATCAGGCTGCTGAGCTGTCTCAGCGAGGGGCCCAGGCTCTGCCCTGGGCTTCTGGGAGTCCTCTCCTCCAGTTTGAGGAGCTGGGACCTCCTGGGGTGCTGCTGGTGGAGGTGGTGGCTGCCGGGCATCCTCCTGCCAACCAGGTCTGCCTTTCGGCAGCAGGTACCGCAGCAGCACGTCTGCCCCTGTTTAAACGAACTGCCTGGCGTGGTTTCCTTTGGGGCAAGGCACCGCTTCCACTTCTGGTGGAGCAGTTAGAGTTGGGAGGGGACAGGCTACTGACGGAGCAGCGATGCGGGATGCTTTTTATAACTGAGTGTTATAAAAACAGACATTTTGTTTGGCTGTGACTTAACATCTGCTGTTTCGGGGGGGGGGGGGGGGGGGGAACCCCAAACATAAACTAGTTTAACTTCAGGTTTAGGCTTTTCATTTTCCTGGTGTCTTGACAATGTAAGAAACGGACCAGAAAATAAAAGGCTTGGCAGAGCTGGGTAAAGCTGTGCTGTGTAATTCCAGCTGTTAACAAGTGGCTTGTTCTGCTTATCTAACGAAGGGAAACCCGCCTCACAGACCCTCGCATCCTTCTCTGCCTTATCTGTAGCCATGAATGCTCTCCAGACAAACCACTGCAGGGCCCGGCACGTGCACGAGCCCCCATCCTCTCAGAGCCTGCCGGTGTCTCTGCCGTCGCTGATGAGGAACGTGCAGCCCCCCAAAGCAGGCTGGCGCCGGGTTCCTGCCTCTGGGCTGTTGGCGGCAACGTCTTCCTCTGGTCTTGCTGCATCTGCCTGTGGATGTGGTGCGGCAGCGTGCTGCGCCGCATTCCTCCCTGATCTGTGGGGTTGTGGGATGTGTCAGAGCTCAGGCGACAGCTGGGGAGGGCAACCGGTGCCCCGGCAGCCAGTGGCTTTTGTAGATTT